AGCCATCTACCCTGGTCAATCACCTTTATGCTTTAGGGGATGTGGTCTCACTGGAACAATGCTGCATATTCATTGCTATTATGAGATTATTTTATAAAGGCCAATTTATAAAAAAAAATTATGTGTAAAAATATGTTATGTCTGCTTTGCCAGGAAAGTCAATGTTAAGCCCTGCTTTGCCAGGAAAGTCAACATGATCTGTCCTGTATACATGTTTATATTTATCGTATGAGATGTTTGATGTAATTTTCCTTTTTTTTTTTTTTGTTGTCTAAAATTTTTAATAAAAATTTAAAATGAAAAAGAAAAGATGAGACTTGTCTTGTTGGGTCCCAATCTCTATTCCATAGAAGCCATGATATCCACACACTGCAATGTTGGTGGTCAAAATAGCCTGAAACAGCTGTATGCATTTGGAAATAAAAGATTCTATAATATTAGGCTATATTTGTACTATACACCAGTGGTTCTGAATGTGCATTTGTCTGTTTGAGGTTTAGCCCTTTCCCTGCCACAGACATAAGGCATACAGCAGAACAAAAATGTTCCCAGCCTACCACGTCAGTATGCCTTACGTCGGTGGCATTTACCTTCTGCTATAAGCTCATGAACTTATATTAAAAAGGTTCCCCTGACTGTCCCCTTTAAATTAATAGCCGTCATCAGCGGCTGACAAGCCACTGATGACAGCTATTAACAAAAACTCTGCCACCTGCCGGCACCTGAAGCATCTCCTCCCTGCCTGTAGCCGCTCAAGGCAGGAATCTGTTTCTCCATGGATCCCCGCTGCTCTCCCCGCTTGTATGGTCTGAGGCAGCAGGGATCCGAGGAGAAATGGCCAGCGGGGGAGCCGCTCAATCACGGTGATCGAGCGGCATGAGGATCGTGAGCGGGGAGGAGAGAGAAGAGATGCTGTCATCTTGTCAGTTTCAGGAAGACAGCGGCTCTGTGCATGGCCGAGTGGAGGGTCAGTAAATATCTGATATTTACCAATCCTCTGTGGAAAGCATACACTGGCGTGCATACACATACACTCCAAAATAGTATTATGTGTCCCCAGTTATGAATGAACAGGAAGTGCTTCACATCACTTCCTGTTCATTCATGACTTTCTCAATGGGGAGAAGCACTTACTACAGAGGCTTTTCCCCATTTAGAACCTGCTGATAGTAAATATTTTACTATCAACAGTTTCTGAATGAATGGGAAGCCTCTGTACTCAGTGTTTTCCATTCATTTAGAACAGAGGGTACAGAAAAAGAAATTGAGGACTCTGTGTCCTCAATGTTTTTTTCAATTTCAAAAGGGAAATGTCAAGGGTCTGTTTAGACATCTGATATTTCCCCGAAGCCCACTCAACAGTAAAGAAAAAAAAAGAAAAAAATAAATAATTTGTTAAAAAAAAATAAAACACAAACCCCCTTTCCCCCACACACACATAACATATACGTGCACCATATTGTGGTGTACGCCATGCACATGTGCTGCAGTGCGTTGTTAGAATGCATGGCAGTGCTTGATTTTTAAAAAAATTTAAATAACATTAATTTTACTATTGCAACGCATGGCAAAGCATTGTGGTGCATTGCCATGCGTTGTGATATGCTGTGTTGCAATTAAATGTAAACCTGTATCATTTTACCACAAAACAAACACCAACACAGTGCAAAAATATTTTTTAACATAAGTCGCTTATTTACAGTTTTGCGTTCCTTAATTTTTTTACCGTTTTGCAAAAAGGCGCAATTTCAAATGTACAAATATTTGTTATTTATTAACTCAATACAGTTTTATCTTTTAGATAAAAAAAAATAATCTCTGGTGACCCCGCACATCCCCGGTGACACTGCACATGCCCGGTCACACTGCACATGCCCGGTGACACTGCACATGCGCGGTGACACCGCACAATGCCCGGTGACCCTGCACATCCTCGGTGACCCCACACATCCAGGTTCCTCTGTGCGGTGTCACTGGGCATGTGCGGTGTCACCGGAGATTGTGCGATGTCACCGGGCATGTGCAGTGTCACCGGAGATTGTGCGGGGTCACCGGGATGTGCGTGGTCCCTGGGGATGTGCGGGGTCACCGAAGATGTGCGGGGTCACCGAAGATGTGCGGGGTCTTCGGGCATGTGCGGGGTCACCGGGGATGTGCGGGGTCACTGAAGATGTGCGGGGTCACCGGGGATGTGCGGAGCGCACACGTGCGGTGACACCAAACAATTTCCAGTGACCCCCCACATCCCCGGTGATGCCGCACATCCCCGGTGACACTGCACAGTGGGGGGATCTATCGAAACTGGAGCAGGCGAAAACTGGAGCAGCTGTGCATGGCAGCCAATCAGCTTATCTCTCTCATTTTCAAATCTTAGTGGAACGAACTGAAGAGAGAAGCTGATTGGTTGCCATGGGCAACTGCTCCAGATTCTGTTTGCTCCCATTTTGATCAATTTCCCCCAATGTCTTTTTATCTGTTCTAGCAGTCATATGTGTAAATGAGAAGAATGGTGGGGGAGGGGAGGGGGGACATTGGGGAACCTGGACTTGGGGCAGCAGAGAGTAAATGTGACCCAGGATAAGGGGGAGATCTGAGAGAGAGACCGGGGGTGATTTACTAACCTAAACACACGCACACTAGGTGCGTGTGATTTTTACACAGCAAAATGTATTTATCAACCAAAAAGTCTCTAAAAGCATATTTCCACTAATGCCATACATGGAAAATCATGCACATGATGCATATATAATGCTGCTTCACAGTTTAGACAAAAATGGTTAGCTCATACATTTACATTCCTGCATTTATCAACGCAAGCAACACACTGTAGAGCTAATTTACACAACATCACCTTGCAATTCATGCAGGGCTTTGCACAACACACCTGCTGGATGTGTACACACTACAAAGGTGTCTAGATTCCACCAATAGATCGTGCTGGGAGGGAACACACTACAGAGGTGTATACTTGTTCGTGGCGTGTTTATAAGGTTAGTAAATCAACCCCA